TGGGATAAAAAAAACATTCCTCCAACCTAAATTCAGATTTCCATTGTGATTAACACCCATAGTGGCTGGAATAAATACCCGGCGTTCGAGGCACTTTATTCCAGCAGCATATTTGGAGCATTTTTTTTACACGTTTGTATATGAGGCCTTTAAGCGGAACTTCACCCTAAAAGAGTTCTACTTTATGCCCCCCTTCTATTTTTTTTGACACTTTGGTTACCTGGTTTTGACAGGTACCTGCACCCACTTCTGGTGGAGTCACCACAGTGAATCCACCAGAAGTTCTAGATGTCTCCTTCCTTTTTTTTTTTTTTGCTGCCTGTCCCCTTCTTTTTTTTTTTTTTTTTTTTTGCCTGCCCCCCCCCCCCCCCCCCCCCCCCCCCCTTTTTTTTTTTTCACTTGTTCCCCCAACCTTCTGGGGCAAATCACAGATCCTGAAGGCTGCAGGACCATTCTCAAAGCTCAGTGAGAAGCTGGCTGTGAAGGCGCATGGAATCGCAGCTGGTTTCCCACAGTAAACCTGCCGGGGACCCGAAGTCTGGTGAAGACCCAGTACATGTAAGTGTCCTTTTCTTAAAAGTCAGCAGCCACAGTATTTATAGCTGCTGGCTTTTAAAGCGGTAGTAAATCACATGAAAAAAACAAAACCCAATGGGCCCCTACAGGTCTAGGTCCTAATGTACTAGTATGCCCCGCACCACATACATTATGACTTCTCTGTACACAGAACCCTCCAGCGCTGCGCTGTCACGGCTCTCCAGTACAATTTTTCTTCCGGTTTTCCTTCCAGGTTCATGAGCTCCTGCAGTATGTATGGCCGGAGCCGCGATGACGTCTCTCTTGCGCATGTGTGACCTCAGTTGCAGGACAGAGCTCTGAAGGTCCACCACGCTGTGCCTTCTCGTATGCCCCAGTGCCATCACCAGCTGCATGGGGTGTGAATATCTCCTACACAGTGCACATTTAGGAAATATTCACTACCTTATTATAGACTTACCTGTAGGTACAACTTACAAAGTGGTCTTTACTTCCACATTCATTTTTTGAAACAAGGTGAAGAACCTCTTTACATGTACATATAATAGGGCCATAATGATAGGTGCGTATTTATAGTTTATGGCCATAATGAGACCTTCATGCACTGCACACTAATACATTATGGCACACTTCCCTTTATATCTCATGCACAGGTGAAAAAATGCTGCTGCTAAGGGTATCTGGCCTTCTATTCTAGTCCATAGAATGAGTTTGTGCTCGTGCATCTGAACGCAATATGGGTGTAAAAATGTGGCCTTAGTGGCATTATTTCTGGCAGTGTATTCGGAGCAATGTCATATGCCAGTGTGCATGAGGCCTTAAAATGGAGCTCTCCAGCCCTGAGATGTCACTGTTCTTGGCACTAACATCTTGGCCTCCTCTAAATCATCAAATTCCCTTTTTTTTTTTTTTCTCTCCAGCTTCCTCTTAAAGGGTGGCTATGTTCATTCTCCATGGTCCAACTGCAGGGACATAGTCACCCTCTCTTGCTTGCTCATGGGATGGACTATGACAGGCATCATTAAATGGCGGACCGCGGTCCAAATACGGACCGAGTGACAGTCCTGTCTGGACCACAGCCACACCATTGAGCAGCCCGAGTGTGGACTCCTCTCCTCCTGCAGCTGTTAGAAATTGGGAGGAATGGCAGGGTGGACTCCTGTATGTACTCTTCTGCCGCGGCCATCATTGCTGCTGCTGTTTAATTTCAGCAGGGAAGAGGGCAGTAGGAATGGAAGGAAGGACTCCTCATCTGAATGTACCGGCTTGTTGTCTCTGAACTCAGAGCAGGGAGGAGGGCAGGGAACACTGCAGGTCTACAGGGGAGTGGGGAAGGGGAGCAAACGTTTCATGCGGGTCACTCGCTTTTTACCAGGAAGAGTTGGGCAGCTTTTGCCCTCAGTGGATACCTATGCCTGACATCTTCCCACCTGCTCTGAGTTCAGCAGCGGCAGGCCGGTACATTCAGGAGTCCTTCCTTCCATTCTTCCTGCCCTCTTCCTTGCTGTGACTTCAACAGCAGCGGTGGCAGATGAGTACATAAAGTCCACCCCGCCATTCCTCCAGCCCTCCACAATGTGTTAACATATGGGGAAGATTATGGGGTAGAGGGGGCTGTGATATGGAGGAGCTATGGGGGGGGGCTGTGAAGTGATATGGGGGAGCTGTGATATGGGGGACTCTGATGTGAGTGGAGGGAGCTGTGATATGAAGTGTCTGTGATGTCAGGAGAGGGGAGGCTGTGATGTGGCGGGGGGGGGGGGGGGTTGTGATTGTAAGGGGGACTGTGATTGAAGCAGGGTTATAATGTTGTGGGGCTCTGATGTGAAAGGGAATTGTGATGTACGGGGTGCTGGGGACATTAATATGAAGGGGGCTGTGATGAGAAAGACCTGAGTAATAGAAGAAAAATGAGTTTTGGACCTCTGCAGAAAGAAAATGTTACCGGACCTCCATGAATTTTATGGTACTATGGTATCTGTAGTGTGCAGAGGAGTGCATATGATCAGAAATATTGTGCACTGGTGGTTTCAAATGTAAGTGAGGGGGAGGAGGAGAGGTTCAGGATCTCATAGAGGAAGTTACAAGTGGGCAGGAAAACCACAGTAAACTGATTTCATGAAAAAGTTTAGAGGGCAATTGTTTACTGTCAAAGGGACAGATTTTTTATTTTTTTTGTCCTCAATCAAGTTGATGGTGCTGTTGTCTGGATATAATGTCCTAGTGGGGAAGGGGGGTGTATGGGTATCTACCACTTTAAGAACTGCAGTAAAATACCTCTTTTTTTTTCCTTTTTTTTTTTTTTTTTTTTTTTTTTTTAACTGGCATTTAAAAACAAAAACAGCCCCCCCCCCCCCAATCCATACCAGGTCCTTATCTGAGCAGGCCAGCAAAGGGAGGGACAGAGGAGCGAGCGCCCCCCTCTTAAACCATACCAGTCCATATGCCCACAGCATGGGGAGGGATCTGGGTGTTAAAGGAGGCTTCCAGATTCTGATACACCCCCCAGCCCACAGGCCCTCACAACCACCACCCAGGGTTGTATGGAAGGAGGACATGGTGCAACCTCCCATATTGAAGGCCTGTGGTCTGCTATGGTGGGGGGGGGGGGAACTTGCTCATCTGTCTCCCTTTTCCTGGTCTACTGGGCTGCATGCTCAGTTAAGGGTCTAGTATGGATTTTTGGGGGGACCCCACACTAAGTTTTTTTTTTTTTTTTTTTTTTTTTTTTTTTTACTTTCTACTTTCAGTGGAGAACCCTGCTGACAACAGATAAGTCATGATTGTTATTGATGTGGCAGATGCTGGCTTCTTGGCAGCCAGCTAAAATATATTTTTTTTTTTTTTTTAACCACTTTAAAACTGCGCTATAGCCAAATGACAGCTACAGCACAGTTGTCCAGTTCTGGGACGGAGTCATATATGAGATCTTCCCAGAATGCGGTGCTCACTCGGTGCTGTCAGTGATCGTTGTGTCCTACGGACACATCTGATCACGTGACTAGGTAAAGGACCAATCACAGCAGCCTTTTACAATGTGATCAGCTGTGTCCAATGACCATTTTCATTCGTGCAATTTTCATTCAAAGTGACAACAGTACTGAAAGCCGAAAATTGGCTGGGCACAAAGGGGGTAAAAGTGCCCGGTAGGCAAGTGGTTCAAGTTTTACTAAACCCACAACAGTGAAATCAGTGTTATGTGCAGTAAAGCATGCTTGTTTATACTCACTGTGGAACCTAACCTGCATTGTGTAAAAAGGTGGTTTGATCCTGACTTCTCTGATATTCCCCTTCTGTTACTGTGATAAGTCTGCACATGCTCTGTTTGGGGTGTATTGCTAGATTTATTTTTTTTGGGGGCCGGGGGTGCATGTGATTGGCACAGGGCCAATCAACGCTGTCCTGACAGAGGGTCAGGGGTCATGCACCCTCATAGGACAGTCAGAGGAGAATGAGACCACCTCCTACTGCTCAGCTGGACACCGATAAAGTCACAAGTCTGCTATATACTGCTGAGAAAAGATATTTAGCAGTTTATTTACTAAAATAATTGCATTTCCATGTTCTGTGTACTGTGGAAGACAAGATATAGTCGATGCAGGGTCATGGGTATAGTAACACTAACGATCACATACCCAGACCACTTAATTTACTGCATGCATTGATTTCCTTTAGTGAATTAACTTTAATGCGGAGTTCCACTCAATAGCGAAAGCTCCGTTATTTGCCAACCCCCCTCGCTGCCATATTTGGCACCTTTTGGAGTGGTGTGGGAAGCGGGTACGTGGTTTTGACAGTTACCCGCTCCCACCTCCAGCTCAGTTTGCAGCAGCGAAGTGATCCGGACGTTCGGTCCCCTCCTTACTCCTGCAGTCTCCTAGGAACTTTCACAGGGCCCAGAAGACTGCTGGACCAATCAGGAGGCACAACTCACGCATGTGTAGTGGGCACCAGGCTGTAAAGCCACACACCGTGAAGGTGAGAACATCGCTGGACCCCGGGACAGGTGAGTGTGTGTGTTTATTAAGTCACCAGCTACAATTTTTTTTTTTTTTTGTAGCTGCTGACTTTTCATAAACACAAAAACAACCGAAACTTCGCTCTAACGCTGTTTTTATGCTGTGTTTACCAAGTGCATTTGCTTTTTAAGGTAAATGCTGCATAAAGTGATAGTGAATTGACCTTTTCAGCTTCGCATGTGGTATTTGGGGAAAAATGTCAGATCACCTAAATAGCGCATGCGATATGCTTTAGTGATTTGAGCCCATAATGAGAATAAGGGACATATGGAAGGCTGTACAGTCACATGACCACGAAGTAAAAGACCCCCAACAAGGAAAAACAATACTTTTTGTTTCTATATTTTATGGGGCCAAACACTTGCTTTACAACTCTGTCCTTTAGGCAGTGTTCATAGATACTAAAACCTTTTTTTCTTTCTTCCAGGAATTTACAGAGATCAACAGACATGGATGAGTATGCAAAAATAGAAAAAATTGGAGAGGGTAAATTTTTTTTTTTTTTTTATATAAACTTGTATGTTTTTGTTCAGTGTTTTTATCTTTTTAGTAGAAAAAGATTGTTCAGAGTATTTGTTTACAGGGCAGCTGTATGTACAGTGAAGACATATGGGAGAACTATTAATATCTAAAGCAGACTTTGCACACTTCAGCAGAAAAAAAAAAAAGCAGCTGGTGTGTACCGCATGGAGATTATCAGTAGGGTTGGTAAGAACCCGATCTATTGCAGACACAGGAGTTCAGAACAAGGGACTTTAGAGAGAAGCAGTCAGAAGAAAGTGTAAAGGGCAGGGGATGGTGGTGGGTGGAGCCAGCCAGGGGGTTCCAAGATTTAAAAGTCTGGATATGCAAAAGCAGGAGCCATCACAACTCCAGTAGGTGGCGGACAAAGACTTGTGGGAGGTATTTAAGATCCATGGTTCCCAGACACACAAAAATGTAGGCAGGTTGCCCTGAAGTGTAGCCGTCAATTTCTCATTAATAGAATCGGGGTTTAACCTCAGACACCGATATTTGTTTAGAAAGCCAGGCTTTCGTGGTAGTGAGGAACATTAAATTGCGATATCAACAACTTGTTTATGATTAAGAGCTTCAAGTGGATTCATTGGTATTGCTTTCCAGAAAGAGTGTGCATAATGTTATATACAGTACTTGCTGCCAAAGAAGCTGTTCCATCAGACAGGACCACCAGCTGTGGTAATTGGAACCAGCTTCCTAACCGTTATAAAGCAATGCATAAAGGCACCAGGACATGTGTGGGGTTTTTTTTTTCCTTAAATCGCTTGGGGGGGGGGGGGGGGGGGGTACTTTTAGTGATGTGATCCACCTGCTTCAGGACTTGCCTGAAGTGAAGAGTGAATATCCACTGTCTCTAGTTTGCAACTTATTACTTACAAAGGGCTGATGACTCCCTGAAAGCACTGGGTGCCTGGTTGGCCAGATGTCGAGAGGAAGGAAGGGAGTCACATGTCCACCATACCCATAAGTACTAGGTACTTATATTCACTCCTGGCAGCTGAATGGTGGTGCTGGGAGTAATTGCTGCTGGAGGGGCCCCATGAAAGTGAAGATTTTGCTTTGCCCTGCTTACATGTATAAGCCTGAATGTTTGATCACCCCTTTGCATTGGGCTATTTTCTGTTTTACAGCAGGCTTTTAAAAGAGAAGTTGTAGGGCCAATTCCCACTATGTGTGGTGACAGATGTTTTACCACATGGGACACACAGGAAACGCTGGTTTCTTTTGTGTCCCTAACACACTGCAATGCAGCCTAGTGCTGCAGCATGCAGTGCTAAAATGCAGACATACTACATTTTCACATTGCACTGTCAACAATTGCACTGCAATATCGGGCAGCTCATCACACTGCTCAACATTGCGGTCAAAGTGTATGTTTTGTATACTTCAAATAAAGCTCATACAAAACAAAGGAGCTGTGTGATGTGTTGAATTGCCCACCACACTGATCCCTAACACAGCCGGTAACCTAGAGCTATCACAGTGGTAAAATGCTGCGACAGCTCTCCTTATACTGTGCATTTCCTCTTAAAAGCTTATTTGGACATACTTTTTATGTGGGTCACAAGAGTGCTCTTGTGCTCTCCTATGACCCATAATCGGCCAACAGCAGGCTAAAGCTGATGTCACAGACCCGCTCCAGACTCTGGAGGGATCCCAACAATATCTAAATCCACTCAGATGCCTTACAGGCAGTTAGCTCAGCCTCTCAGCATGCTGCCAAGAGCCCCGTGCCAGCCGCTCCCACCCTCTCTCCTGCCTGAAGCTCCAGTGAGTATTGCAGAGGCAGAGCAAAGTCAGCGCTCTCTGCTCAGTGAAGACCAAGAACTGAGTTATCAGCAGTCGCCTGATTGCTTAGTTCTGGGGCTTAGAGCTGGTGGGAGACAGCTTGCAGCATTGGATCGATTCATGCTGCATCTTGTGAATGGTCTTGCAATCTGTGATGACCTGTGACATGTCTGAAAAGATTGCTGTGGGGAAGAGAAATTCTGGTGGATCGCTGCAGCAAACCAACCAGAAGTGGGAGCAGGTACCTGTCAAAACCAGGTGCTCTCTCCCAAACCAACCCCCACCATCCTCAAAGACGTTCCAAAAATAGAAGAGGAGGGAATTGTATAACCTCTGTCTGGACAGTGCTGGTCACCTGCACTTTCCCAAGATTAAAAAATAAAAACCCTCCTTACCAATACACACCAAACTGATCATGTGCAGAGTGACTCCACACAATGTCTTATGAGGAGATAAGAGGGGGACACTGGAAGAAGGGAAGGATCAGATAAGTCTGGTTCAAACAGTTTTTACAAACTGCAGAGGAATAAACCCTTAGGTTCCACAGTGAGTATAACGGTTACACTTTTTAAACACTTGCCTACAGGGCACTTATACCCACTTCCTGCCCAGGCCAATTTTCAGCTTTCAGCGCTATCACACTTTGAATGACAATTGCGTGGTCATGCAACACTGTACCCATATGAACTTTTTATAATTTTTTTGAGACAGCTTTCTTTTGGTGGTATTTAATCACCTCCTGGATTTTTTATTTTTTGCTAAACCAAACACAACTGAAAATTTTGGGGAAAAAATTTTATTTCTTAATTTCTGTTATAAAATCTTGTAAATAAGTGATTTTTCTCCTTCACTGATAGCACTGTTCAACAAATTTTTATTTTTTGCCAGTTTTGGAAACAAAAGGATCCATTTCTTAATGAATTTCACATTCTGAGTTCAAATATAACAATGAAATTTGTCAATTGGCTCTAGTTTTTCTGTAAACGGAAAGTTTTCTACTATAGGCGTAATGACTACATAATGCACAATAATTATATAGATAGATGTCTTTCCACAAATATAAAAACAAGTGATATTGACTACATAACAAAGCCTAAATGGCATAATATATTGCATAGGATTACCAAGAAAAATTATAGCCATAAGCTAAGTTGAATCATTTTAATACTTAGGATTCTCACTAGTTTTGTCTTCAGTTTGTGTCGGTTTTGCTTCTCTTGGCTTTTCTCTTGTATTCGAGGAAAGGGCTATCTCTTACAACTGCACGTGACTACACGCTTCAGGTTCTTCCTCACTTGACTCGACCACGAAGGATTCTGGTGCTTTAGGAATTGGTAGCCCCTCTCCATGAGGAACTGGACGTATTGCCGATGGAATATTTGGATAGTGCACAGATAACTTTTTCTTCTTATTTAGCCCTTTTACAATTGGAGGCACCATACAAAAGTAACAATTACTAACATGATCTGTTGTCTCTCCAAATCATTGGCACAGCGAAAGGCATAGATGCCTTTTTTTCCCATTCAACCATTGCTCCAGTGCCGTCCCACAAGAATTGCAGCATATATGTGGGTGCCCAGCTCTTGTCCTGGTCTCCTATCTTGCAGCCAAAATACAAGTTGTAGGCTTTCTTAATCATTCCTGTTATCCTCCTTTTTTGTGAGATAAAAGTTATTTCACCCGCAGATATAGCAGAAATTATCTGCTTTATTCACACAAGTTCGAGGCATTACTGAGTAGCCTATATAAGCATAAAAACGAAATGTAAAGACGCTGTCGAACTACAATCAGCTACAGATACTGCAGCTTTTATGCAGTGAAGTGATGCAATTAAAGGCTAATATTGCATAATCTCAGTATACATGCAATTTTCTATTGGTCACCAGTATCAATTGCGCAATATGCAGCTGAAGTTGCATCATAATTTTGAATGGCTTACGTCATTAGATGGGTGAATATATCATGGAAACTAGAGCCAATCAACATTTTTTAGGGTCATTTTCATTGTCAGCACCCCAAAATTATGTAAGATTAGCTAATTTTATGCCCAAAACTTTTTACCTGTTGAACAGTGTAGGTGGCACTGATGGGCGGCACTGACTTGCATTGTTAGGTGGCACTGAAAGTCAGCTCAGATGGGCACTTATGTGGCATTGATGTGCACTGGTAGGCACTGATATGTGGCATTGATGAGCACTGACAGCTGGCATTAATGGGGCTACACTGATCATCAGGGCACACTGATCATCAGTGTAAATGTCCCCTCTGAGTAATGCCTCCGGCTCTCCTCTGGAGCTGTCAGCGTGACATCTCGTGAGGGGAGAAATGGCGATAACTGGCATTTCCTTATTTATATGCAATCCGCTGTGATTGGACACCGCTGATCACATAACAAAGCCGACGTCTTCGGCTCTTTCCGTTGATGGGTGATCCGCTGTTTCCGAGGGACACAGTGCGCCCCTGGAGCTGCGCACCTAACGTGGTTAGAGTGGGAGGATGTCATATGATGTCCTCCCAGAACGAGAGAACCACCTTGCGCCCGTCATTTCCTTATATGGCGGGTGGGAGGCGGTTACGTTTTCCCCTCTTGGCTTTACTTATTCTGACTCCCTGACAGGCTGAGCAGGTTTTTCACGCCCTCACAAGTCTATGGGAATGCAAAACCTGCTTAAAGGAAAAGTATGTGTTTAAAAATAACAAACCCATGCTCACCTCTATGCTGCAGGAGTCCCACGCCAGCTCCAAGACCAAGAATGAAGTGATCACATGACCACTGATTGCCCAGTTCTCTGTCTGCCTGGAGTGCTGAAAAATGACTGTTAGTCACTGCTCTCAGCTCAGCTCCTCAAGCTTACTGAAGCACAAGGCTGGGGGGGGGGGGGGGGGGGTGGTTGGGGGCAATAGCCAGTTATCACGGGTCACAGAATGAAAGCAAGTGCACTCCTGTGACAAGAGACATATGGCCAAAAAAGCTTTATCCAGACTCTTGAGGAATAGGTTACACTATATGCAGCATGACTGCATATCCAAAAAGAAAAAGTATTTCCCTGAGCCTAGTGCTTTCACTAATACAGCAGGCTGCGTGTTGTGCTTTTTTTTTTTTTTTTTTTTTTTTTTTTTTTTTTTTTTTTTGGAATGTAATTGCAAGCCTGTAAATTAAAATGGTGTTTGTACTGCAATTGCTGTATGACTATAATACATGTCAGTGTGCGTGGATTCTCAAACTGATGCCGTTGACACAAGCCCAAAGTCTATAGACACAGGCTGTAACTATTGCTTCCCTGTCAACTGCCTTACCTTGCACACTTGTCAACCTTCAGTATGCCCTGTTTCAGTCTACAGCAGGGGTGGGCAAACTTTTTGACTTGAGGGCTGCAATGGGTTCATATATTGGACCCGGGGGCCGGACCAAGAGTAGATGAATGATGTGTATGTGTCATCCAAGTAAGTATAGTAATATTCCCCCATAGTAATTCATCATCCCCCCTATAGTAATTCATCCCCCATCTTATGTCCCCAAGTCCCCCCTGTGTCAATTCACTTACCTTTGCTCCGCGCGTTCCTCTCGCCGTGTTCTCCGGTGTAGCATGAAAATCTGTCTCCTATGAGGATCTGTCCCCCTCGACATATCTGCGCATGTGCCAGTTTCAGGCATTAGCAGCCGATCGGCGATCTCCGGCACATGCGCGGATACGTCGAGGGGGACAGATCCTCATAGGAGACAGATTTTCATGCTACACCGGTCTTCAGGGCAGACTGTGAGAGGAGCCTAGCTCCCCTCACGTTCTCCGCGGGCCGGATTAAAAGGTCCGCCGGGCCATATACGGCCCCCGGGCCGTAGATTGCCCATTGCTGGTCTACAGGATATTGTGTTTGAATCCTGAGATGCTGAACTTTGGCTGCTCCTCAAGTTAACATGTAGTTTCCTTTGTAAATTATTTAGTGTTGTAAATGTTAGCATTTTTTTTTTTTTAGGTACTTATGGGGTTGTATATAAAGGGCGACACAAAGCAACTGGTCAGATTGTTGCAATGAAGAAAATTCGTTTGGAAAATGAAGAGGAAGGAGTTCCAAGCACAGCTATCAGAGAAATCTCTCTTCTTAAGGAACTTCAACACCCCAATATTGTATGGTAAGGGGCTGCTTCCAATTACAGCTGAAATTGTATCACAATAAGGTCAGGCGTATTAAAACGCTATAAGGCTACATGCATATGTGCAGAGAAAAATGCTGGTTTTAGAAGGTGGTTTTTAACATTTTTTTCTTCTAAACTTCGATCCGTATTAGTCTGTGTCCATGCACATTGTAGCATTTTTATATTTATATTTTAGAGCAGCATTTAGGGGTATGAGATGACTAGAGCAAATGAACATAGGCTCCTTTTACTGACCAGAACATGCAACAAGTGAACTTTTGTTTTTGTCAAGAAGTAATGATGCCTAACTAAAAATGCATGGCAGCCAGACTGTCATTTAAAAAAAAAAAAAAAAAAAATTTTTAGTTTTGGTTATGCTACTCAAATTATGGTAAACCTTCAGATTTTTTTTTTTTTTTTTTTTTTAGCACTTTAGGTGGCTGATCAATCCACTTGCTGAGACTGCAGCTTATTTATCTTTTATTCCTTGCCTATGTTTGTTTAATCTGGTGTCATGATTGCTGCCCCCAGTTTTGTTTCAGGGTGGTCCTTTTTTCTTGTAGAGCTGCATCTCCATGCACGATGTGCATCAATAGAAACTCCCTCCCTCCCTTCCTCGTCTTGGTAAACATTTTATTTAGGTTAGGTTCTTGACTCTAGCCAAAATATATTTTTTTTTGTAGCGTATACAAGCTGGGTGCAGGAATCATGACTTGTTGTGGGGGAGCCTATGAAAATACATGCAGCAGCCAGAGGTCAGCAACACAAAGTAGCTTTTTAACAGGGAAATAAACTTTTTGTTTTGTATTATATAGTGCTTTCTTGAGAGGAATATTTTACTATACAAGGGTTGTAGATGGCATTACTGGTGTGCATCCATTTATAAGTGTACTAAAGTGTGATTGTAAATATTTTTTTTCTTCCTTTTACCCCTAGCCTTCTAGATGTTCTAATGCAGGATTCAAGACTATATCTTATATTTGAGTTTCTTTCCATGGATTTAAAAAAGTATTTGGACTCCATCCCTAGTGGTCAGTACTTGGACACTATGCTTGTTAAGGTATGTATCTGTTTATAATTGTTACAAAATATATTCTGTGCTAGGTCAGGAATATGCCTCCTGTTATGGTGTTTTTTTTTTTTTTTTTTTTTTTTTTTCCTTCTACAGAGTTACTTGTATCAGATTGTACAGGGCATTATATTTTGTCATGCCAGAAGAGTTTTGCATCGGGACCTAAAGCCTCAGAATCTTTTAATAGACAGCAAAGGTGTCATAAAACTAGCTGACTTTGGGCTGGCCCGAGCATTTGGAATCCCAGTCAGAGTTTACACACATGAGGTATGTTGAACATATTATGAATACAGTTTTCTGCAATGCTTGGTGTTTAAATTATTGGGTCTCAATATAAAACTAAGACCTAGCTCAGTTTCAACTTTTTTGGAGTAAGTTTCAAAAGTCTCTGGCTGCATCGCTAACTTCCTCTCTAGCAGTCTCTACTACCAGTCCTGGCCACCACTTTTCTGATTTGTATGACAATCGGTAGTTTTTGAACTCTCAAGCTTTAGTAAATAATCAGGCTCACTTCTGCATAGAAACCAATTGGCTTTAAGGTTTTATTGCTGAACCTTAATTCAACAAGCTGAAGTTAGAAGCTGCTTGGTTTCTATGCAGAAGTGAGCCTAATTTTTGCACTCTTGCGTTTAGTAAACAAACCCCTCAGCATCCAACCCACTTGAGCCATTGCTGATGTGCAAATGACCCCTGGTGGTTGCATCCTCACACTGGCCAGGATTCAAGGTGCTCCCAGACAGTGCAGCACTTGACCATCATTGCATGAATCTGTCCAGTCTTAAGACTGCAGAAAAATGAATGCTGCACTGTAACTGGTAATAACATTGAAAGAAGTATGGCCAAAGCTTTTTTGGCTTTTACTTCTCTTCTGAGTCACAGGTGTGTACTTTATTTCTATACTCCTGTGACCCAGATTCAACCATCATTGTTGGTCCTGGTCTGGAAGGATCTGAACTTTGATGCTGAGATCCACCCAGATGCCTGATGGACATTTTGGCTCCGCCTCTCAGAATGCTGCTTAGAGCCTGAGCCAGCTGCTCTCACCCCTTCCACAGCCTGTCACTTCAGTGAGTGCTGGAGGGGTACAGCAGTCTGTGACTGATAGTTGCAATTCTGGTCATAGAGGGCTGAGAGATCAGGACTCGTGATCGCTCAGATCTCAGTCTTTGAGGCAGTAGGGGACAGCTGCAGCCTCAATGATGCGGCCATATAGGTGAGTATGTTTATTTTTATTTCTCAGACTTCTTTTAAATGTGTCCAGTTTGTACCTCAGTTTAACAGAGGGGGGGGGGGGGGGTCTCTACTAGGGGCGGACTGACCGTTTGGAAACTCGGGCACTGTCTGGGGTCATTAGGGGGCCCTATGAGATGCCCCTGGTACTTTTTTTTTTTTTTTTTTTTTTTTTCATAGGCTTTTTTAAGTTTGGGCAAGGACACAGGGGCCCCCTATTGCCCAGGGGCCCCATGAGTTGTCAGTCCGCCCCTGGTCTCTACACAGCTGAGCTGGATTGAAGAAGATTCAGTTTAGGCAACCATTAAGTTTTTTTTGTTTCTGCTTACGAGTTGCATGGTGATGAGAGAGCCGAGTGAGATGAACTCATCATTTGTGCTGCTTTCACTATCCAGTAAGACTGTAGGTCAAGGATGACCTGGACTCAGAAGTGGAATAAATGATGCTGGACGTCAGACTGAGGACTTCTATGGAAATGATTGGAGATAGAATGCAGTAAGGTGAAAAACCACCTGCCTTAACAACCACCTTAATCATCTAATGTATTTTTGAGGGGTCTTGATCTAAAATTTCTAAAAACAAATGTGTTGTACAGTTATTTATCATAACAGGACTAACTGGACTGTAATGTATACCATTGCTGTAGGTGGTGACCTTGTGGTACAGAGCACCAGAGGTCCTTTTGGGATCTGTGAGATATTCTACACCAGTTGATGTGTGGAGCATAGGTACAATATTCGCAGAAATTGCAACGAAGAAACCGCTCTTCCATGGAGATTCTGAGATAGACCAGCTTTTTCCGAATATTCAGGTATGTGTATCTAATTTAATCTGCCTTTTAGTATTCCTTGTATTCAAAACTATTCAAGTAAGTGTGCTGGAGAATTGCTGGTTGCATTGTATGTAACTGGGATAAAAAGCAAGGAGTCAGTGTTTGGTAATTTGGATCATAACAGTAGTAAAGATCAGTCACCTGAATATTTAAGTTTAATGGTAGACTTTGGTGATTTATTATACAGGATTTATATAATGCCAACAGTCTGCGCAACACTTTACAAAATGAAGGCAGGCATTACAGTTACAATACAATTTGGTACAAGAGGAAACCGAGGGCCCTGCTCGTTAGAGCTGACAATCTAGGAGGAAGGTTTGAGTGATGCAAAAGGTGATAGCTGTGGGGGGGATGAGCTGATGGAGGAAATAAATGGCGGTTTACTAGGTAGAAGCAGGATAGACTTCTTTAAAGAGGTTTTCAGGGATTGTCTAAAAGTGGATAGATTAGGAGACAGCCAGACAGATTGGGGTAGGGAGTTCCATAGGATGGGAGAAGCTCAGGAGAAGTCCTGGAGGCGAGCATGGGAGGAGGTGACACTTGAACTAGAGAGCAGAAGGTCTTGGGAGGATCGAAGAGAGCGGTTTGGTTGATATTTTGAGACAAGGTTGGTGATGTAGCTGGGGACAGAGTTGTGGATGGCTTTGTAAGTTGTTAGTATTTTGAATTTTATTCATTGGGCGAGTGGAAGCCAGTGGAAGGATTGGCAGAGAGGGGTAGCAGACACTGAACGGTTGGTAAGGTGGATGAGCCTGGCAGCAGTATTCATGATGGACTGGAGGGGGGATAGCCTATGTAAAGGTAAGCCAATGAGGAGGGAGTTGCAGTAGTTGAGGCAAGAGATAACCAGGGAGTGAGTTAGGAGCTTTGTGGTATCATTGGTTAAAAAGGGGTGTATTCTGGAGATGTTGCGGAGGTTGAGGCGGCATGATTTGGACAGGGACTGGATGTGGGCCTGAAAGGATAGTTCAGAATCCAGAATTACCCCTAGCACCCTTACATGCAGGGATGGGTTGATAGTGGTGCTATTGATCCTGACTGAGAAATCGGGGAAAGAGGCACGTGGGGAAGGAAATATTATGAGCTCAGTTTTGGATAGATTGAGTTTTTTAGGAAGTGGTGTGACATCCAGTCTGATATCTGTTAGTAAATCGGTGATACGTGAGGAAATTAATGGGGTGAACTGAGGAGTGAGAGATTTGTATCATCAGCATAGAAATGGTATTGGAAACCATGGAAAGCTATCAGCTGACCCAAGGAAGAAGTGTAGATCGAGAATAGGAGAGGTCCAAGGACAGAACCTTGGGGGACCCCAACAGTAAGAGGAGTAGGAGAGAAGAAAGAGTTGTGACACTGAAGGTGCGGAGAGATAGGTAAAGATTCAAACCAACGGAGAGTATAGTCACAGAGACCAAGTAAATAGTTTTTTTGAGGAGGAGGGGGTGGTCAACTGTGTCAAAGGCAGCGTAGAGGTGCAAGAGTATGGAATAGTGACCATTGGTTTTAGCGGTTAGTCGTTTTGTGAGTTTTAGGAGAACAGTTTCTGTGGAGTGTTGTGGGCGAAATCTTGACTGAAGGGGATCGAGAAGGTTATTTTCAATAAGGTGGCAGCTCAGCTGGTTGTAGACTAGACATTCAAGGAGTTTGGAGGCAAAAGGGAGTAAGGAGATGTGTCTTGGGTTGCAAAGATTGGCAGGATCCTCCTGTGAGGCTTTTTTTTAACTATGGGGGTGACTAGCGCATGTTTTAGAGAGTTAAGGGAGATGCCAGTAGAAGGGGAGAGATTGAAGATATGAGTTAAAGAATGAAGGATAAAGCCAGAGGGTGACCGTAGTATTTGCAAGGGAAAAGGGGGCAGGTGTTTTAGGTGGGCTTTAGAAAACCGTTTACCAACCTCCTCTCTAGTAGCTGGGTTTGACAAGGGAAGTATAGATTGTGCAGGTGGACAAGGAGTGTAGGCTGAGGGAGATATCTGTACAGTGAAGATCTCGTCACAAATTGTATCAATCTTATTTTTGAAGTGCTTAGCGATCTCCTGGGCAGTAAGTGGGTGGAGGTAGAGAAGGACGAAGTAGAGAGTTAAAGGTAGAAAAGAGTTATCGGGGATTGCGTGAGAGGTTGTTAATGAGAGTGATAAAACAGGTCTGTTTTGGCAGTGTGGAGACAAGAATTGTATTTTTGAAGGGCTGGTTTATATTGATCGATGTCTTGCTGGGTCTTAGTCTTACACCATAAACGCTCAAGAGCACGGCTACGTTTTTTGAGGCATCTGGTATTGTCTGTTTTCCAGGGCTGTAGCAGTTTGGGCCTAATTCTGTGTGTGGTGAGGGGGCAAATGTGTCCAGGGTGGATGACCATGAACTGTTTTGTATACAAAAGTGGCCAGGTTGGGGCAGGACAGGGCTGCAGTTTTGTCAGAGACTATCTGTTGCTGTAATAAGAAGGGTTAAGATAACTAAGGTTTCTACGAGTAACTGTTTGGTAGTTGGAAGACAAGGAGAGAGTGAAGCTCATAAGGGAGTGAGAGAGAGGAAGAGGAAAGCTGGTGAGGTTGCAAGGAGTGCATAGGTAGGAGAATGCAAGGTGAAGGCAGTTACCATTCGAGTGAGTAGAAGCATATGTCCATTTTTAGGTCAAACGAAGTGGTTAGGCTCAGAAGTTTAGAGGTAGCAGGAGTGTTAAGATTAACAGGGATGTTGAAGTCACCAAGAATGATAGTGGGAATTTCAGAAGAAAGTAAGGCAGCCAGGCAGAGACGTCATCAAAGAAGCTTGATACCAGTCCAGGAGGCCAATAGATCACAGCAATTCTTAAACTGGAGTGAACAGACAAATACAGTTAACTTCAAATGAGGAGAGGGACAGAGAGGGAGGTGAATGGGGGACCTGAAAAGTGCTTTGAGGGGATATGATTCCTACTCCACCTCCTTTCCGTCCACTAGGCCTGGGAGTGAGTCCAGAGGAGATCACCATGGGAGAGTCAGATTCATGAAGCCAGGTTTCTGTAATTGCAAGCCAGTTAAAGGAGTTTGTGATTAAAAAGGTCATGGACAGAGGTGCATTTGTTACAGACAGTGGGTATTCCAGAGGGCACAGGAAAAGGGGAGGCTGGTTCTAAGAAGAGGAATAGTAACTAGATTGTGTGGATTGCGGCTGCTGTTAGAGGATAGGGGGTGCCGGGTGTGTTGATTAAAGGAAAAAGATGGTGTCCCAGGAATTGGGGAAAAGTCTCCAGATGTTAGGAGAAGCAGAAGGGTGAAGAAGGTAATATGGGAGTATGACTTGTATGGAAGGACAGGTTCCAGTGTCCTGGAGGTTTTATTAGTGTGTGGGTTCAGAATTTGCATGAATTGATGAGTACAGTAACAAGGTGATGAAAGGAGTGAGGGTGATATATATATAAGCTGTGAGGTGGAGAAGAGGGGTGAAAGAGAGAATTTGAAGAGAGGGGACACAACAGTGAGGAGGAGTAGAGTGCATGTTACAGAGTGGAGATGAAGCAGACTGGAAAAGAGCTGGATGGGGAAATGGGTCACCTGTAGTCTGATTAGTATTTGAAGTTGTCTGCTGTTGTTTCTCATTGTACATTTGCTGAAGTGCAGAGCCAAAATGTAATACTTAATCCAAGATCAATACTTTATCCATGATCGTTTCCAATGCTGCCCCTGGCTGTGCCTCCCCTAAAGAAGTCCTACATTTTATACTGAGTTGGGTGGGGGAGTTGCCAATTAATCAGTTAGGAAAGCTTAGCAGAAGCATGGCTAGCAGGGCAAACTTCTCACACCAAAGGAGGACTACAAGAGAGCAGGAGGGCAGAGTTGTGAAGATTAGGATCAGCTCATCAATTTTGGGTTAGACAATAAGAGCAAAATAAACACCACAGTAACATGTACCAGAGTTAGATTTTTGAAGCCGTAAGAATGACCAATAAGAACATTGATAGTTTTGAATCCCCTTCTGTTAGAGGTGGATTTTAAAAGCAGTATAGATTACCATATAGCAGTGCAGGGTGAATTAGCATTCATACATGGCATGGGCGATATTACAGATGGATATTGCTCGCAGACAATTGCCATATAGCAGTGCAGGGTGAATTAAACTACTTCTGGGAACAAAGTAAAATCTTTCTCATAATTTAACCACTTGCCCTACAGAGGATTTACCCCCTTCCTGACAGGCCATTTTTTTGCAATACGGCACTGCATTACTTTAACTGACAATTGTGTGATCATGCAACGCTGCACCCAAATGAAGTTGGTTGTTTTGTTTTTTTCTCCTCACAAGTGGAGCTTTCTTTCAGTGGTATTTGATCTCCTGTGTGTTTTTTTTTTTTTTTTTGCGCTATAAACAAAAGAATACTGACTATTTTGAAAAAAGAACCCCACTATTTTTTTGACTTTTTGCTATAAATAATAAAAATCACTGACACTGTACTAATGTCCCTGGGCAGGAAGGGGGATAACATCTGGGGCGATCAAAGGATTAACTGTGTGCTGTTTCACTGTGTGCGCTATTTACACTGTGTAAGCACACTGCTTTGTATGGCTCTACTATGCAGAGCCATACAAAGCAGTGTGCATGAGTTGACAGGGGAGAGATCTATATTGTTTACATACAAGTATTAACTGTGTGCTGTTTTACTATTTTATGTGTTTTTTTTACTGTGTAAGCACGCTGCTTTGTATTGCTGGGGCTGGCGGGGGTGAGATCTGTACTGTTTACGTACAGACCTCTCCTCTGTCAATGTTCCTCGGCAATTGCCAGGTGCCAGCGAGGAACCTCCGTCCAGGACCCGGTGATCGACAGCTGTAGCCGCCAATGGCAGCTAGCGTTTTAGACGTGTGTTGTTGTTTTGAGGGGACAGCAAATTTACACTGTTATACAAGCTGTACACTCACTGCTTTTACGTTGTAACTAAGTGTCATTTCTTCTGTGTTGTCACATGAAAAGATATAATAATCTAGTTACAGTATGGAGGAG